ACGTCTGTATTCGAGACTATTAGATATTCAACTATAACAACTTTGTCTTTACAAAAGAACATAAAACAAAAAATATCATGACGAGCCACATTGTTATTTAAATAACAAACTATAACTTTATTAACAAGGTCTTCATTTTTAGTTTGTAAACAATCCGTTCTCTGATACAATCAAAATTAAACTGAGGAGAAATGCAGAGTCGCTCGTAATAGCATTTGTCACGAACTAAGGCACTTACTGAAGTGGCTGGCAGGAAATCCCTCATTACTTACATGTGTTACTTGACAAAACAACAGCGATCAAGGAAAATGGCACGCTTTATTGATAAGCGCCGTAACACCTCCCACAAAAAGAAATGTTTTTACATTCGAGCCGAAAAGGAACGGAGGAAATGCCGTTTGACGAGTGAAAAAATTACGGCAACACTTTTTACAAAGGCTTTGTAATAAGCTGAGTGACTATAAAAAATAAGGCTTCATTTTAAAAAAAAAACATTTAAAATTCTGTTTGATCTGCTTTCTTATAAAAACAATTACTTATTTTATTGTCTGCTTCTACAATCGTAGCTGATTCATTTGTGTTACTGTTTTCGTAGACGATTCGTAGCAACAGCGGTTGCTACGCGATGCGCTCCGTAGCAACTTCGTAGTACCGTAGTAAATCATTATAATTTCTGTGTATCATCACTATTTCACGTTTATAATTCAATTTCAAAAGGACATTCTCGTAGGTTCATAAAATAAAATGAATAACAATAAAGAAATCTTTCTTTAATTAATTTACTTTTCGAGTCTCTCTACGCAACAGCTTTGAACTAAATTATTATTTTGCCGCCCAAAACAAGTACGTGAGAGACATGAACCTTGGTGTTTCTGAAGAAACTCCGTAAAATATCAATGAATTTGAGGTACCGCTCATAATATTTGAGAACTCCCACCATAAAATGGTACTTCAAAGTCAATATTTCCTCACGAAAACTGGGGCATGCCAAAGCAAACTGTCATCGCAAATGACGTACGACAGCATAAACACTGCACCGCAGGGAGGGTCACGGAGCCCAGCCAGTGCCTTGCACCGTGGCCCGTGTCTAATCATTCAGCCATTATACCAAAACAAGCCTAAAACGAGCTTCCAAACTTTTGGCAATAAACACCAAAAACTTTGTGCATTATACGTCAATAGCCACCGCCGATTTACGGGTTGTTATCTGCAAGTTATAACGCACTTGGTTAGATCTTTATAAAAGTTATATTACTCTTATTATGTACTAGCTTTCCGCCCGCGGCTTCGCCCGCGAGGAATTTTGTCTGTCACAGAAAAACTTTATCCCGCGCGTCCCTGTTTCAAAAACCGGGATAAAAACTATCCTATGTCCTTTTCCGGGACTCAAACTATCTCTCTCTATGCCAAATTTCATCAAAATTGGTTCAGTGGTTTAGGCGTGAAACGAGACAGACAGACCGACAGACAGACAGAGTTACTTTCGCATTTATAATAATAGTATAGATTGTTAATAGTAACGGGATAACTTTTTATTTGACCACATCGGTACATTTACATGCGTCATAAGCATGAATTACCAAAGCATTAGAGACCATGAAAGCAAATAGTAACTAATTACCAACACTCAATACGAGTTAAACTTGATATCAAAGATTAATCTTAATCTGACTTTCGTTTGAACCAATTAAAATTTTCAACTGCGAGCTTCTGTCGCAAAAATCTTATTATAATCGGCGTCAAATACAAATCGATTGAGAAAAATTTATGCTTGGTTGTGGGTGGCTGTTATGTGTACTTACTGATTGAATATTATTGCTCCGTTACATGAACGCAGTCCTTAATGGCTGCTGCTAAACAAACAAGCCACTCAAACTCCGTTACTTAATAATAAGTTTGGATTGAACAACAATAAGTTGCCATAGTTTGATAACGTAATCAATGTTTTCCAGTTTAACAACTTAGTATGAGCACAGAATAAGTAATAGTACAGGTACAGAAGGATTACTCCGCAAGACGATTTAAATAAATGCAAGTCTTGCTACGACGCGATACAGTGGAATTCAGCTCGCACAGCACTACGTACCTACAATTTTATTCACCTACAAGTTTTGTCTCTTTCTATCGCGTGCCTCTGAACTCTTCTTACGCTGTTAGGGTTGCTGTCTAGTGAAAAAATAATTAATCTACTTATTTGTAATGAGGTACGTATGTAGGTAAGTAAGTATTACTGTTATTTTACCTTTGTAAAAATAACATTTCAAATATACCTAATTAGGATTAAAAAAACTTGTTTTATTACAATGTCTTCATTCATACCTATTTTAACAAAGACAAATAAATTAAACATACTATTACAGAAAAAAGAAGAATCCTATAATATCCTAAGAATTTTATTATTGATTACCTACATGGCCATGGAGCGTGCTATGCTCGGAGTTTCCCTGCGTGATCGAATCAGAAATGAGGAGATCCGTAGGAGAACCAGAGTGACTGACATAGCCCGCAGAATCGCTAAAATCAAGTGGCAGTGGGCGGGGCACATAGCTCGAAGAGATGATGGCCGCTGGGGCAGAAAAGTTCTTGAGTGGCGACCACGAGCTGGAAGACGTAGCGTGGGCAGGCCTCCCACTAGGTGGACCGACGATCTGGTGAAGGTCGCGGGAAGTACCTGGATGCAAGCGGCGCAGGACCGGTCTTTGTGGAAATCCTTGGGGGAGGCCTTTGTCCAGCAGTGGACGTCTTTCGGCTGAAACGAACGAACCTACATGGCTAACATACCTTTCAGCATCTTTGGGAAGCGAAAAAAAAGATAAATCCGGTAGATTTCTTTTCGAATTTAAACACCCGAACGCCGCACAATATTTCTTTCTCTTTATGTCCATTTTTAAATAATATTTCGATCATAGAATTAGGTACTACTACAACTCACGCCAGCGTCCTGACGGGCGCGCGCGTGACACTCGATTGATATAATACCCGCCGGCGGGGCGCTTCGCTGTAGGTAATTATCGGATGTACCGCGCGGAGTGAGCCAGGCCTGGTATGAGGCTAAGTTACTAGAACCTTAAGTGACCGTAACTATTTAAGATTCAACTGTGCCCTAGACCCTAGACAATGTAACATTAGTTGAAATACGGTTTCCCTATCTCTAACCCCGTCTCCAAGTTTCAGTCCCACAGAACCTTAACGACTCGGAAAACTAAGCTGAAAATTCTCACTCAACATACAACTATACTGATATAGACTGCGTGAAAAAGTGACAATAAATGTAAGACGAATTGTACAGCGCCCCTAGGGGAAACTTTCAAGAACTAAAATCTCCTTATATTTTTTTAACTCAGTCGATATCGTATGCGTTTGACGTAAACTCACACTACGCCCTTAGACTAACCTGTCGTTAAAAACGCAATATCATTCAACAAGTCACCAATACACGCTAAACAACAGTAAAAATCTATTGGCACATTGTAAAGTCGTAGATTAAACTAGCCCAATATACGGCCAAACCTATTTGTCCCCGCGATTAATAGCGTCAATAAATCTGCTAGATACCTCGAACCGGAGCGATTTTCCACGCATACTGTTTTTATTTAAATCCCAAACTAATGCCATGTGATAAAAGTTGCAACGAGGCTAATGATCGCAGACACGAAACAAACTAATCTACATTAACCGCTGAAATCGGTTTTGTTTTTATATGTATAGTAACTACGATGATACGGTTCGAAACTTATATGAAAACTGTAAACTTCGATTCGTATTAAGTTATTCAAATCATTGTATCTTAAAAGTAGTTTTTATAAGGAACTCACACGCACTTATTTCACTGTGCATGTCCTAATAAACTGTTAAATATACATTTGTATTTGAGTTGTTTATTGCCCTCCAGCAAATTATTATGTTCAAACTAGAGGTTTAAGCTGTCTGCTAGTCGGTAAAAAGAAACTGTTTTTGAAACACGTAAAGCATTTTTCTTTAGCATTCAACTTCGAAACCAATTGAGCCTTGAGCTCGCTCAACTAGTTTATATTTTAAAAGGTGAGACTCGTTGTCTCAAGCATTACACTCACCTTGATATTATCAGCTAGATGTCGTGTTTGTTTGCCAATGAACGACCTTCAACTTGTCTGCCATTGTTCTTTTACAAAGCATTTCATATTAAATATTCAATGAACTACTATGCCCACAGCTTTGTGTCTGGTGAAATAGTAAACAATTATCATTCATTTACATGATTAACGGGTGTCGATTTCAATGTGTGTCATTCAGTGTGAGATCATCAATAGTACAAAAATCTTTATCTTTGTTTTAGTAGAAAAGCATTATAATAAAGTTAGTTACATTACTTCTACATTTTTGATGGTTTTCAAACACATTACAAAAATACAGTGTTAACGAGACAGGGGTTCTTTACGGTTTAAAGTTTAATCCACTCACAAGGTCGTGTCACGCTAGATTCTCACGCAACGAAACGAGTAGGTTACAATGAAACGAGTATTTAGGCATATAGACAAAAAGTTGTTAATATTTACCCAACAGCCTTTTATTGGGCCAACGAAACGTAACACACTCAGTGCCATACATCAGCGAGCTAAAGCGAAAGCTGAAAAAATAAACCGCGACACCAAATTCGCTTTAAGCGAAAAGCGTGAAGTTAAAAGCGTATAAAAGTTGTGAATTTAACAAAAACGCGTTGTGACACCAATGTGGTACACAAAATGCCACTCACCACTTGCTACGTCGTGTAAGGTTAAAATAAACAGTATTTACCTTATTTTACCATGATTTACGGATCAGTGATTTAAAGCCAATGAGAAATGAAGTGTTAATTTTGCGCTGGATAATGTAACTTTTATTTTCTCGCAATCAATAATGTTATTAATTTTAAAAAAGCTTTGATAATCTCGCAACAATTAAAAGAGATGATCGAAATTAAATGTCGTAAATCAAAATGTGGCAACCTACACAACGACTACAGCGAGGAATTGAACTCTTACTTAGGTGGCATGACGAAGTGTTTGCACACTCTGGAAAGATCCTGCAATAAAAAAAAATACCAGTAAATATGTGGATACGTCATCTTCACTTTAGTGAGGAACTTGGTGGTCCTATAAATATAAAGTCATTTTGTTACTTGTCATATGTATACATAAGATACGAGTACATAGTGTACGTTGAATCAGAATGCTTTATTGATTTTGTCTTTAGGAATGCTTTTATTGAATTAACGGTACAAGATTTAAGTCATTGTTTTCGTGTTAAGCTATTTACAAAATACATTTTTTTTTTAAATTTTATGATATTTTTATCTACAAATACTACGAATGTGATGAAAGAGATTTGCTGAAATCCAAAATAGTCTAACTTAAACACTATAAACTTTAAAATATGTAAAAGTACTTCAGGAAGCATACGTAACTAATTCAATTTCAGTAGTCATTTCTCCGTCTACCCCGAATGTAATGTACAGGTAATATTTTTTATCCCGGACTAAATCAGAGCGGGCTGCTAGCGCTTAATACATTATATACTTCATATAGAGTACTATTTGAGGCATAGTTACAACATGTAGGCCAATGTAACGGCAATAAACACGCCTCAAACATCATCCTCGTAAACTTGTCAATTTTAACGATCCTATACGAATACGAGCGTTAACTAATTACGTGTTAAGTTTTATTGTTACAACTTAGCTGTCAATATTTAAAACAGGGTACGGCTTTTAAATTGAGTAATAACATCATTTATCTACTAAAATAGTCATCACAATTTTACACAATGCATATGTCTGAGGAATTCAAGATGCATACAACTGCCATTATGGGAATAACTGAAAGAAAACTCGATTATTTCAATGACACGTGATCTTAGAATATTATTAATTTACTATGTACCACGAAAACTCACGATTTCATTGTATGGAACTACATAATAATTATTATGTTAGTAACCATGAAAGTTTAAAACAATGTATGGAACTACATGTTTATGTCTAATAAGAGCTGATCATAAATAAATAATTAACCGAATTCACAGTATAAAATGATAAACATAAATCGTTATGTCCTTGTTACCACACATTGTGACGCATACGACTGACGTAACGCTTTCGTCATAACCACTAAATAAATCCACGCGCTGTACAAAGACTGTCATTTGCAGTGATGGCGGTCCAGCTAAATTTTGCGCAAGTTTTGCGCTCGTATTAGTGATGGAAAATTTCAAATATATAGAGGTAAATGAAATAGCTAAGCTTTAAATGACTGTCAGCTCCACATGTTTCGAAATATATGGCGCTGGGACTAATACCTAACGATTATGATGTCAGTTTTTGTATGCATAAGTACCTTTAAAACGCAGTGGTATTACATAGCTCGCTCTATAGTACTAAATCACGGTTTTTTATTAATTTAATATTTTTTCAATAGATTTTTACGTTTTAGACAAGTAGAATTATCTAGTTAACTTCTAATGCACTCAGAAGGTACAAAGTAGGTATCGCTTCCTAGTTTTGTGTGGTAAAAATATTGTAATCATAAACTTTACCTACTACGAAACTAAAATACCTTCTCACAGAAAATTCCATCACTATTCTGTGGGTCTAGTCAAAACGCACTTTAAAATCGCAAACCCATCGCAAACCAGTCGCAAACAAACAAACAAATCGCAAAAGAGGTCGATAACAAAAAAGGCTTAGTCAAACGGCAAAAAATCGAATCGCAAAGCCCTACCTATCGATGATCGAAAGACTGGATTAAAATTTCCCATACAAAGGCTTAGCCAACATGCATTTAAGACTCAATCAAAATCGAATCGAATCGCAACACCCGCCATTTTCATTGCGATTACTTAAACCCCGGTGATAAGCTTCGATTATATCGAAAACCAATAGGGTGAGTTGCACCACCTAACTTTGACCGTAACTATGACATTAACCGGTGTTTTTTGTATGGAGTTTGACAGATTTTAGACGTTTGTCAAAGTTAAACTAAGATGGTGCAACCCACCCTAAGGCTGTTTTGACAAATCCGTATCGCGATGTCGTTTTGACAGCTAATTTGACAGCGAAGCATAGACGTAAACAGAGAGCAGAAAGAAGGAAGAAACTAATTTAAAAAAAAAAAGCTAAAAAAAGTAAAAACAATCGCAAAGTCATAGACATTTTGTAACTTTTATTCGATTTTGAATGAACTTTTATGTCGCCGCGTCGTTGGGGGTTCAATGTGCATTTTGGCTGCCATTTTCCGATCGAATCGAATTACTGGCGATGGCATTTTGACTAGACCCACTGCTCATATGAGAATGTCATTTCGACGTTATCAACTCAGTGACGCTGGCGAAAGGTCACGTCACGTCAGTAGCGGCGTAAGGGGGGGGCGGTGGGGGCGGTCCGCCCCGGGTGCCAAGCATCAGGGGGTGACACAAGTCGCGCAGATTAGTACTCACTGGCATATCTGCATGGCAAATCTGCGGTCTATGTCATGATACGGGGGGGNATTTTCCGATCGAATCGAATTACTGGCGATGGCATTTTGACTAGACCCACTGCTCATATGAGAATGTCATTTCGACGTTATCAACTCAGTGACGCTGGCGAAAGGTCACGTCACGTCAGTAGCGGCGTAAGGGGGGGGCGGTGGGGGCGGTCCGCCCCGGGTGCCAAGCATCAGGGGGTGACACAAGTCGCGCAGATTAGTACTCACTGGCATATCTGCATGGCAAATCTGCGGTCTATGTCATGATACGGGGGGTGGGGGGGGTGATTGTCTTTCAATCTTCGAATCGGTAGATAACCCCAAAATCCTGGGGGGTACCAGGGGGTGCCATAGGACTTGTGATGGGGGGGTGATCGCCCCGGGTACCAACCCATGCTACGCCGCCACTGCGTCACGTGTATTCGAACTATTCGTTTAATCATGAAATCCGCGCCCACGCCGCCGATTTTCACAAATTCATGATGCCCTTTCGACTCCCGAGAGAATTGCATCCAATTGTATCGTAATAACATTTACTTTTCTGTAAACATGTATCATAACACCGATTTATTACTTAGTAATATTATTTTTAACTTTATTGCACTTGAAAGAAGTTAAACAGCTTTTTTACTTACAAAAACTTTTCCAATAAACACAACAAGCAACAGCTTGATTTAAAAAAATACCTAATTCATTTTAGACAAAACACGTTCAGTTTTACGATAAGATAAGTATAATGATAATATGAGTATTTAACTGAATTTACTCAATGTTGCTAATATATTTATTCACAGCCCTGAATACATGAGCTGCTTACCTAGTTGAGCTCAAACACTTGTACCTAGCTACAGTTACTGTAGTAACTAATAATGTACATAACTAGGTATACCCATGTATTACTAGCCTTGCTACAACTAGAACGCGCTTCTCCCAGTAGAACCTTGTTACCTGACCATTATTGTTAATTAACTACCACGCGGTACCTTGTACAATCATTTCTAATTTGGCAAATTACCAATTAATTAGGGGTTATCATAAAAATATGCAGCGATTTCGTAAACACGATGACGTCATTCTGGCAGGTGGCTTCTGTTAATTAGGATTAATTTAGCTGAGACACGCGCCTCTGCTCAGGTCACGCACACATAAATCCTCACACAGGATTGTTTGCGCTAGCATTCATTAAAGATGCAAGCCCTCCCTCGTTACGGCGTTTTAACACGGAGCAAGTGTCAAGTAAGGGTGTTAAGGTCCCGAAATTTACGAAAAGAACGCTTCACGTTTTAGTTAAGGCAAGGCTATGGTTGGTTTGTTGTTTTTATACATAACCTTATTTTTGTAACACTGCTGCCTTATTTTGAATCCGTTGTAAATAAAACACACGAAAAGGTAGGTAAGTAGGCTGAAAATGTTCAGTTGTGCTTCGTTGAAATCTGGGCGTGAAGGGAAATTCGCTCTGACGATGAATGAATCCAACGCATTATGTGGTCAATTAGCCACAGCTTATTGATATTTGTACCGAATTTCATCAATGCTTATTATTTGAGTGTACCTAATAATCCCATATTCCAAACAAAGAGTAGGTACCTATTTGTGAATTCCCATTTATTGTCTGGTAAAATTAATGGACACTAACTGAATCGTCGCGTGTCCATACCATTACTGGAAGTCGCCGTACTCGTATAGCAGACCGATTGAGATCCTTTATCATTGAGTATTGAGTGATATATTGTGCTGTGGTGCAATTTATTTTATTGACAATTTTCTACTATATTATTAGGTACCTACGTATTGTTATTAGGCTAAGTTAGAGAGTAATCATCATTCAACAAGCTTTGTCCGAAAAATAACCTACATTCTATCAGGACTATACTTGGCGATTTTAAAACGGAATCCAATCTCGGCACGTGTATTGAAATCCTATTGAAGTTGGATGTTTCACATTAAAAAATAGCCTTGAAGCTCACCCGAGTGATCGCCATCTCCGAAATTGGTTAACAGTGGTTTTTGCTCAGCTTAACCTGTCATAGGTATTTTAAGGTACGAATTGTTTTTCAACTGAATAGATGGATATTCGTGACCTGAATTTATTTTAGGCGGAGAATGAAATAGTGGACCAATCGTAGCTATCGTTAATCACTATAGTAATGTTAGAATTCAACTTCTGCGACAATCCCAAAGAATTCTACAAATCTATCAAAGCGTACCTATTATACCAATATCATAATTCAACCACAGTAAAAAGTCTATAAAGACTCAAAAAGTTCAGCACCTTTCTTCTTGACTAGACGTTTTTATTATAACTTACACATGTGTGTGTCTCTTTACGTACTAACATGTTTGTTGCCAAGTCAACACTGCCTTAGCATACCTAGTCGTTAACATTCGCACTGTATCGAGTCGTAAAGAGCGGTTCGTGATCGCGAATACGGTTCACAGCTCGTGCTCGTAGCTTGACACGGACGGAAGCCCCACATGACATCGCTAAGTTTCGCTCAGTTCGTAATCGCCTCGCTAGTGTGAAATACTACTGATATAAGTACATTACCAGTTGCCGCGCATG